CCTCCGAAGACATCCACGTTCGCATTGGTAGGAGCAGGTGGCATTAGGCCAACAGCGCTAAACATGTACGTTTTGCTTTAAGCCTTTGTTGAGAACAGGTTGGAATTTTTGTGTCAAATAATTCAAAGAGTTCTTAAGCCGTGAAAAGGAATGAAGATTTTTTTTGCAGAGAGTGATCGATAAAATTGGTCATTACGTGTACTTTAATTTTTAGAAAAACCTGGAAAATTTAAGTGCATGAATCTCAATGGAAGCACATTTATAGAGAACCACATTTATAGGAAACCACTTTAATAGAGAGCCACACTTATAGGAAACCACATTTATAGAGAACCACGTTTATAGGAAACAACATTTATAGAGAACCACATTTATAGGGAACCACATTATAGAGAACCACATTTATAGAGAACCACATTTATAGGGAACCACATTTATAGAGCACCACATTTATAGAGAACCATATTTATAGAGAACCACATTTATAGAAAACCACATTTATAGAGAATGACATTTACAAGAAACCCCATTTATAGAGAATCACATTTATAGGAAATTATATTTATAGAGAACCACATTAATAGAGAACCACATTTATAAGAAATTATATTTATAGAGAACCACATTTATAGGAAACCTCATTTATAGAGAACCGCATGTATACTCAAAGGTGTTCCTTTAATTACTAGGTTTTGAATACATTTTGAAGGAGTTTAGTTCCTATATTCGATCCTCAAGATATCGGCTCCATTGCAATAGTAATCGGTGTGGTTACTTGTTTATTTCTTTTCAAAATATCACAAAACATTTGTGTAATGTATTTTGATATGAAAACTTGGAGTCTATATCGTCATACCTTGGCCTAGGCACCCACAACGTCATTTAAAAAATACACTGTCCTTATCCCCAACCAAATCGTTATTATAAAAATACCCTGTTCTAACTACTCACACTGTCTTTTCACCATACCTTATCATCCGCATGCTGTCTATATCACCACACCATGTCCTACGTATGCTGTCTATATGACCATACCATGTCCTACGCCTGCTGTCTATATCACCATACCATGTCCTACGCCTGCTGTCTATATCACCATTACCATGTCCTACGCCTGCTGTCTATATCACCATACCATGTCCTACGCCTGCTGTCTATATCACCATTACCATGTCCTACGCCTGCTGTCTATATCACCATTACCATGTCCTACGCCTGCTGTCTATATCACCATTACCATGTCCTACGCCTGCTGTCTATATCACCATTACCATGTCCTACGCCTGCTGTCTATATCACCATTACCATGTCCTACGCCTGCTGTCTATATCACCATTACCATGTCCTACGCCTGCTGTCTATATCACCATTACCATGTCCTACGCCTGCTGTCTATATCACCATTACCATGTCCTACGCCTGCTGTCTATATCACCATTACCATGTCCTACGCCTGCTGTCTATATCACCATTACCATGTCCTACGCCTGCTGTCTATATCACCATTACCATGTCCTACGCCTGCTGTCTATATCACCATTACCATGTCCTACGCCTGCTGTCTATATCACCATTACCATGTCCTACGCCTGCTGTCTATATCACCATTACCATGTCCTACGCCTGCTGTCTATATCACCATTACCATGTCCTACGCCTGCTGTCTATATCACCATTACCATGTCCTACGCCTGCTGTCTATATCACCATTACCATGTCCTACGCCTGCTGTCTATATCACCATTACCATGTCCTACGCCTGCTGTCTATATCACCATTACCATGTCCTACGCCTGCTGTCTATATCACCATTACCATGTCCTACGCCTGCTGTCTATATCACCATTACCATGTCCTACGCCTGCTGTCTATATCACCATTACCATGTCCTACGCCTGCTGTCTATATCACCACACCATGTCCTATACGCCTGCTGTCTATATCACCACACCATGTCCTATACGCCTGCTGTCTATATCACCACACCATGTCCTACGCCTGCTGTCTATATCACCACACCATGTCCTACGCCTGCTGTCTGTATCACCACACCATGTCTTACTCATGCTGTCTATATCACCATTACCATGTCCTACGCCTGCTGTCTATATCACCACACCATGTCATACGCCTGCTGTCTATATCACCATACCATGTCCTATACGCCTGCTGTCATTATCACCATACGCAACCACGATTTCAAGCATCTCTAGAGGGAGGGGGTGCGGAGTTCAGCCCCCCGCCCCCGCTGGAGCAGGCCTAGTGCCCCCACTGGGGGAAAATGGGTACGAAAATATAATGTTATAATTAAAAAAAACCTTCTAAATTTTTAGTTACTTAAAAAAAAAAGTAATCGAGCTTGAGCCTTGCATCGATTTCAATTAACGGAACCAATCAAATATTCCCATGTTCAATTTATTTGATAATACAGTATTCATTTACAAATATCGTATTGTTTTGAAAATATGACGCTCCTGAAAATAAGTCCAAATTTTACTTCCTGTTGTTCGCGTATATCTTTATTATTATTTTATTTTTTTTGCAACTTCAAAAAGTTGAAAGACTTTAATAACTTGGTATTAAACATTGTCATCAATGCCGCCCTCCCCCCTCGCTTCCCCTCCCCCCTCTCTCCCCTCCCCCCTCACGGAGGAAAATGTCTGTAAGGACCACTGACCCACCCTGTCCATACAACCATACCCGCAGGGTGATGCAAAGCTGGACAGTCACCTTATAATCATGTTCATTGGTGCGACACCAATAGATCAGTCACTGCACAGCGCTATCCCTTGGTTTCGAGCACTTACATTGTAATTACAAATGAGCCGGTTCTCCTGTTGGTGTTAAAAAATTACTAGATAGCAGAGCATCGATTTTCCGAACTGAGTGCGACCGGTGGGGAGGTTCGGATAACTTATTTGTTCGTATAACCGAACGGTCCCACTGATGAAAGTTTTCGTTAAAGAGGTTAGTGCCTTGAATCCAATATATTCGTACCTTATAGATTGACGCGTATGGTTGATAAATTTACAGTTTTGACCATACCGCGAGGTGGAAATGGGCCAGTAGATGGATGACGTAAACACCCTTCTGCGAAAAGGAGGTCATTTCCAAAAATAGATCCATCGAGCTTATAATAAAAATCCGAGGTCACTAACTATGTCTTTGCAGGCGTGTATTCTGGTAAATGTGTCATGAAGTTTGCAGATCGCATCATCGAAGTCTGGTTACTGCGTGGACAATATGTATTTAGATTTTACCTGGATGGTGAGAGGGAACGGCATTGTTTACCAGTGGTAGTACGCCATAGCTTCATGCCATGCGCATAGCGTACGATAACAATAATAAAAAAAAAAGACATGGGCAGTTCAGATAACCGGCGTTTGGCATTTTGAGAATCGACTCTCTACTGCACATGCACATGTCCTAAGATCGACTCTCTACTGCACATGCACATGTCCTAAGATCGACTCTCTACTGCACATGCACATGTCCTAAGATCGACTCTCTACTGCACATGCACATGTCCTAAGATCGACTCTCTACTGCACATGCACATGTCCTAAGATCGACTCTCTACTGCACATGCACATGTCCTAAGATCGACTCTCTACTGCACATGCACATGTCCTAAGATCGACTCTCTACTGCACATGCACATGTCCTAAGATCGACTCTCTACTGCACATGCACATGTCCTAAGATCGACTCTCTACTGCACATGCACATGTCCTAAGATCGACTCTCTACTGCACATGCACATGTCCTAAGATCGACTCTCTACTGCACATGCACATGTCCTAAGATCGACTCTCTATTGTATATGCGCATGGCCTAAAATGGACTCTACTGCATATGCACATGTTCTAAGATCGACTCTCCACTGCATATGCATATTATGTCCTATGATTGACGCTCTACTGTATATGCACATGTCCTAAGTGGACTCTCTGCTGTTTAAGCACATGGCCTGAAATTCTAATAGCAACAAAAGAAAAATGTTCGTCCTTAAAAATAACCAACTACCCTCAACCATAGGCTCTCAAGTCTGTTTTAGTGCATGGTTCTCAAATCTGTTTTAATGCATGGCTCTCAAGTCTGTTTTTGTGCATGGCTCTCAAGTCTGTTTTAGTGCATGGCTCTCAAATCTGTTTTAATGCATGGCTCTCAAGTCTGTTTTTGTGCATGGCTCTCAAGTCTGTTTTTGTGCATACTCACCACGTCCAGTCATGGTAAACTAATTATATATTTCCGACCAGTCAAATGGGCGACTTGCCAAATGTATAATACAGTGTTTCGAGCTGTTGGCAAAATGACAGATTCGTCGATAAATGTCCTCTCAAAAGTGTCGTAAAGATATCCCCCCCCCCCCATAAAAAAAAAAATATAAATATTTAATAGCGGTTATATTTTAAGGCGGCTCGCTGGCTGTGCGGTCAAGATGAGTTTAATACAAACTTGTGGGTTGGAATTCAATCCCTAGGAAAACCCCAGAAAAACCCAAGACCAGCTCCCTAGGTTGACAGGACTCGTTAACCTCGGCTGGCAACCCGTCTAAGACAAGGCAAACTCTCAATTCAAACCTGGAGAAAGAGTTACTGGGGCGGAATGCCACTGACACCGCACCCCTTGCGACGTAGAGCGCATAAAGAGTACAGTGAGACACACACAAGACACACTGCTGGTCACCCACACCATCCTAGCCTGTCTCCCAGTTCGCTTGAACTAAGTCTCGTCATCGGATCAAACAGGCGAGACGAGAGAGTGAGCACAGCATTTTACTTAGGGGTTATTTAAATTTTTTATTAAAAAACGATTATTAATTGAAATTTTTAAAAATTAAATAAAAGAATTATTCATTTCCAAAGTACATTTTTTTTTGCGTCAAGTTTTTTTTTTTTCCGTTCAGGTGTTCTTCAAGCTTATCAAATTAACATTTTGTTTTATAGTACATGAAATGTAAATCAAATTAATATATTTTTTTTTAATCAATTCGATGCGTAGAAACGAGCGTAACGAGTTCTTACATAAACATACTCGCCAATTTAGCTTTCAACCAAAAAACGTTTTTAACATTACACTTGCGACAGCTGGTGCTTACGCATTCTTAATGAGGCAAAATTTACAGATAATTTATGTAATTCACGATACATCTCAATTAATTCAGTTATTCCTATGGAAATTGAAACCAACAAAATCCAACAACGTAGATGAACATAAATAGTTTAAACTCCAGTAGTGTTTCAGTCAAACAAATTCGCATCTACCCGTAAGACAAGTCATCCTATCGCAAGGTAACCTCTCGTGACTTTATTTGTGCGTCAGCTATAACCTGACTGGTAAGTGACAGCAGGCTGCCATAGTGTTTGTGTTGACACCCAATATTTGTATTTTCCAAGTTTTAAATAACTCCGCACAAGTTTAATACAACTTTTTAATTGTAGGCATTACTAGCAACTCAATGTTTCCCCAATGGCCACTGGGTATGAATGATAACAACTGAAAGTTTCCCAATGGCTACAGGGTCTGAATGATAACAACTGAAAGTTTCCCCTTTGGCCACAGGGTCTGAATGATAACAACTGAAAGTTTCCCCTTTGGCCACAGGGTCTGAATGATAACAACTGAAAGTTTCCCAAATGGCCACAGGGTCTGAATGATAACAACTGAAAGTTTCCCCAATGGCCAAAGGGTCTGAATGATAACAACTGAAAGTTTCCCATTTGGCCACAGGGTCTGAATGATAACAACTGAACGTTTCCCCAATAGCCACAGGGTCTAAATGATAACAACTGAAAGTTTCCCAAATGGCCACAGGGTCTGAATGATAACAACTGAATGTTTCCCCAATGGCCACAGGGTCTGAATGATAACAACTGAAAGTTTCCCCAATGGCCACAGGGTCTGAATGATAACAACTGAAAGTTTCCCCTTTGGCTACTGGGTCTGAATGATAACAACTGAAAGTTTCCACAATGGCCACTGGGTCTGAATGATAACAACTGAAAGTTTCCCAAATGGCCACAGGGTCTGAATGATAACAACTGAAAGTTTCCCCTTTGGCCACAGGGTCTGAATGATAACAACTGAAAGTTTCCCCAATGGCCACAGGGTCTGAATGATAACAACTGAAAGTTTCCCCAATGGCCACTGGATCTGAATGATAACAACTGAAGGTTTAAAGATACGTCATATCTTATTATTCTTTGTTAAGTCCCTTATTCTTAGGGCAGATAGACATACGTTGCTAGTTTTAGTAGCTGTTACTCAACATAAGTCATTGGATCGAGCTCTTTGATATGTGTGTGTGTGTGTGTGTTTGTTTGTGTATGTGTGTGTTTGTTTGTGTGTGTGTATGCGCGCGTGCCAGTGTGTGTGTGTGTGTGTGTGGGCCAATAAGTGTGCGGGTGACTGGGTGGCCAAATGGTCTAAACTGAGCAAACCACAAGTTGGTGGTCTGGTGTTCAAGTCCAGCCAAAGGCCAGTCAATCAAAAACATCACCCCGGGTGGATGAGACTCGTTAACCTTGGTCGGCAACTCATCTAAGAGAAGGAAACTCTGACTACAAACCCGCAGTTGGAGTCCCGTAAGGTGCAAACAATGACAATTCCTGCAACCGTACCCATCCCTGGTCGTCTTGACGTAGAGTCTTGCCACTGGATATGGTGGGCTCGGACGAGAGAGTGAGGTAGACGCCGCGCAACTCTTCTTCACTGTAAACAAAAGTCACCCGCGCAAGTCATCAGTCACCAGACGACTCGATGGTCATCGTCGATCCTCGACGGTCCTCGTCGATCCTCGACGGACGAACAATAATAAGTGTGCGGGTGTGTGTTTGTTTGTGTGTCTGCCACTTTGATCAGTTTCTCGTTTTGAAATGTCAGAAAAAACTTTAAATTTTAACTTCACACCAAACAGGTTGGACAAATCTGAGATTAAAATTTACTGTTAACATATCACTGTTGTTTTTTAAGATCATTGAAGATTCGGCTAAACATAACGAAATGCTTTTTAAAAAATCCATATTTCTCTATAATTTTAATAAATCAAAGCCACCAGAGAATTTACACACAAAATTTTTTTTACAAAATCAACAACTACAAACAAGGCAAAATATAAATAAATAAAAAACAACAACAACAACAACAACAAATGCATAAATAGTTCAACGTCCAGCTCAAACAACTCAAACAATAGACAAATCGCTTGCCAGTTTACCACCAGCTGTTCTGAATTAAAAGAACAAATGTGTGTACATTATTCTATTTTGCGAGGCAGTATTTAAATAAAACAGAAAACGAGACTCGAGACATTACAACTTAATTTACAACACGAAGAGATTAGCAGTTTTCACTTGTGTGATACAGTTTGGTGAATGTCAATCGAGTATTAATTGTAGCCTACATCTTGGACTTCGTTTGATGAAAAAAAAAAAGGTTGGGGAGTGGTTGGGGGGGGGGGGGGGGAGATAGAGAATGTGAAATGAGGATGCAAGCTGTTCCTTTTATTGGCCTTGATTTTACGCTAATGGGCCTGGACATGTTAGTCTGTTCGAAAGCGTTCATATCCCGTTATTGTTATCCCATGATAAGTTCATGAACGTGTAAGGAATTCTTCATACAGGCGCGGAGTTCCTACTTTTTATACAACCAATAATTGTATCATGATTTAGGAGGTTATCCAATAATTGTATCATGATTTAGGAGGTTATCCAATAATTGTATCATGATTTAGGAGGTTAACCAATAATTGTATCATGATGTTAGGAGGTTATCCAATAATTGTATCATGATGTTAGGAGGTTAACCAATAATTGTATAATGATGTTTTGAGGTTATCCAACAATTGTATAATGATTTAGGAGGTTATCCAATAATTGTATAATAATGTTTTGAGGTTATCCAACAATTGTATAATGATGTTTTGAGGTTATCCAACAATTGTATAATGATGTTTTGAGGTTATCCAACAATTGTATAATGATGTTTTGAGGTTATCCAATAACTGTATAATGCTGGCGTTGGGTGGTTATCTTAATAAAGAAAAATGGAACGAAATTCTAAAAATATCATGTCAACACTTTGACAATAATTTCATTTGATGAGATTTTTTCAAACTCTCTGCTCTCGGTCTTCTTCTTCCAGAACGCAGGGTGAGTTTGTTTCTTTCCCTTAAATCAAGATGCTTCTCAAACTGATAGTCGCCTTATCCCTGACCTTGACTTTAGCATCAGCAACGAGTGACCCCAAAGGGTGGTTCTGTAGCTTTGAATGCAATGACTGGAATCAACTGGAGTTGGAGTGTCAGAAGGAGAAAGGTACGTTTTTGGGTGGGGTTTTTTGAATTTTTTTTTTTTAACAAGCGCAGGTTGACTTGATTTTAAGTCAACATTTGAAATATTTTAATCTGCAAAAACACCTTAAAAATTAAAATATTCCAAAACTGGTTGCACACAAAAATTTTGTTCCAGAAATATTTGGCTGATAAGCGAGAATCTAGGTTTTATAATCTATTTTATTCTGTCCAACTAAGCAAATGCAAAAAAAATAAGTAAAAGCTAAATTCTTATTTTTTTTTTTTAAAGTATGATTCACAACGTCAGATGATAATTTAAGTTTAAGGAGCATTTACCGCAATGTATCTCTGACGTCATGTGGATCTATCATAGGTAAATTTCTTCCGTTGCCATTCTGTCACACGCATTTTAAAAGGCTTATGGCTCTACGGCAGTTTTAAAGGGGATGCAATCGCATTTTCTGAAAAAAACATCGCTGTTCTTTCCAAGTCTGTTCGTCTTTTCCAAAAATATGTTTTCATGTTCATGTAGCCTTCATTATTTCCGGCCATTAACACTTAGTAGGCCTACACGATTTCCGGCTATTAAAACGTAGTGTTTCAAGAGACTGAGTCCTCTGGGATGTCCGGCTTTTAAAAAAAAAATTATTGTTTCAAGACACCGATTCCTCCGGGATGTCCGGCTATTAAAAAAACTTAGTGTTTCAAGAGATTGATTTCCCCGGGACGTCCGGAACTTCAAAGTAGTCCACCCACGACCAACAGCCATTTCAATCAAGTGAGATGACTGTTTCCAGCATTCTATCTCTTGGAGTTTTTCCAAGAACATCAAATTACTTGTGCGACTAGCATGCAGTCACACCTATAGTAACATCAATAGTCCCATCTATAGTCGTATCTTTAGTCACATTTAAAGTCTCATCTAAAGCTATTTTAAAAGAGATTACTTTTGCCTGTTGTTTTTCTTTTAGCAGCAGCTCCTACAGAAGTCCTTCTAACTATCATTATAAATTATAGCTATTTGATAAGGGCCTATGTTTGTCTCCACAGAATATCTCAAATGGCATTGTCTTTTATTAATTAAAAAATTTTTTTTAACCTTTAATTGGACTCATTTTAAGGGCAAATTTTGTCTCTCCACATTATACAAGGAAAGGTCGGGGGGGGGGGGTCACTGTTTCCTACTCAGCAGATGGAGAGCTTACCAGCCCTCCCACTTTGTATACCGCCTGGCCAAGTCAGCAGATGGAGAGCTTACCACGCATCCCTCTTTGTATACCGCCTGGCCAAGTCAGCAGATGGAGAGCTTACCACGCATCCCTCTTTGTATACCGCCTGGCCAATTACGTAACAAAACTAAATACACCTACCAGTATTAAATTTTGTGAATGGTTCACGGTTTTGATCGTTCCAATAAATGTATTGGTGCTCAATCTGTTCCAACCGATAACTTCTCCATAGTTGGACTAAGTATTCGATTCCTCTCAATGAATACTTTATAGCCGGACCAATGAGTCGATAGCTCCGGTTAATATTTTACAGCCGGAGGAATGAGTCAATTCTCTGGTTAATTCTCCATAGCTGGACTAATGAGTCAACACCTCTGGTTAATTCTCCATAGCGGGACTAATGAGTCAATACCTCTGGTTAAGTCTCCATAGCTGGATTAATGAGTCAACACCTCTGGTTAATCCTCCATAGCGGGACTAATGAGTCAATACCTCTGGTTAATTCTCCATTGCTGGACTAATGAGTCCATACCTCTGGTTAATTCTCCATAGCTCGACAAATGAGTCAACACCTCTGGTTAATTCTCCATAGCTTGACTAATGAGTCAATACCTCCGGTTAATTATCCATAGCTGGACTAATGAGTCAATACCTCCGGTTAATTCTCCATAGCTGGACTAGTGAGTCAACACCTCTGGTTAATTCTCCATAGCTGGACTAATGAGTCAACACCTCTGGTTAATTCTCCACAGCCGGACTCAATTCCTCCCGAATTAATTCTCCATAGCTGGACTAATGAGTCAATACCTCTCAATTAATTCTCCAAAGCTGGATTGGAATACATCACGGAATACATCAATAATTTTTATTCGTCCTTGATTTTTATTTTTTCAGATTGCTTTGAAAAGACGAACAACCAGTTCACCAATGAGACTGTGGCATGCATGCAGCCGTGTTGGGACCTTGGCATACCATGCAGGACCCAGTGTTACAAGGTGTATGACCAGTGCACGTCAGACTGTCCGTACACAGTCCCGAATCCTTATGAATGCTTCACAACCTGCTTTAAGGAGGCGTTCGCCGAGGTCAAACCTCAAATACCCAAAGCTAATGTTGATGCTTAAATTTACATAGAAAAATGTACAGGTCAAACCTCAAATACCCAAAGCTAATGTTGATGAATAAATTTACATAGAAAAATGTACAGGTCAAACCTCAAATACCCAAAGCTAATGTTGATGAATAAATTTACATAGAAAAATGTACAGGTCAAACCTCAAATACCCAAAGCAAATCTTGATGAATAAATTTACATAGAAAAATGTACAGGTCAAACCTCAAATACCCAAAGCAAATCTTGATGAATAAATTTACATAGAAAAATGTACAGGTCAAACCTCAAATACCCAAAGCAAATCTTGATGAATAAATTTACATAGAAAAATGTGCAATCATTTTTTTAAAAAAATGCATATTGTGTTTATGTCTTAACTGTATGTCATCAAGTGACGTGACTATAAGATAAAATGAAAGACTTTGTGTATTCTTCCATTGCAGTCAGGGCTTGGCATATGGGACTACGGTTACGACGGCATATGTTACACCTTTTTATAACTTGGATGTTACAATGCTATGGAAATGTGTGCAGTGCGGGGGATGGGACTTACATAAAACTAAGCTTTGGAATATCAAAGACCATAATGAAAGACCTGTCATTAGGACCTCCTGAAACAATAATGCAACACTGGATCAAAGACCTCTAGATATCATAATATAATTTACAATGGGCTTTTAGAACCTCCAAAGATCATATTGCAATTATTTGGATTTCAAAAGACCATTATATAACATTGTTAGGTTTTTAAAAGACCATAATATAACTTTGTTAGGTTTTCAAAAGACCATAATATAACTTTGTTAGGTTTTCAAAAGACCATTATATAACTTTGTCAGGTTTTCAAAAGACCATAATATAACTTTGTTAGGTTTTCAAAAGACCATAATATAACTTTGTTAGGTTTTCAAAAGACCATAATATAACACTAATTGTTTGGATTTCAACAAATCATAAAATAAAACTGGTTGTCTGAATCTCCGAAGAACAAAAAAATGACTCTGGTTTTTTAGTGCTGCCAAATATCAAAATAGGACACTGATTTTTAGGACCGCCAAAACTGTGATATGACATTGGTTTTTAGGACTTTCAAATGCATGATAGAAAATTGGTTGTTATTGATCGCTGCGCATTGATATTCTTTATTCAGTGTTTGGAACACAAGTTTTAAGGCTATGAACTAAGACTACATGTTCCTTTTATCTACTTTTATTGCGAATAATGCAGAAATAACAAAAAATAATAATACTGAATTTTAATGTTGAATACATGATAACAAATAGTGTTCATTTATGCATTAAAAATGGTTAATAAATATAATCTAATTGTGGATGTAAGGGGTTTATAGAATAGGTATATACACAGCAAGACCAAAGCCAAACTAACGGAAATAACCAATTAGAAACGCCATAAAGGCTAAACCTATTGCGGCATTGACGTTGAGAATGTTCTGAATGTTTGGGCTTTCAATCAGAAAATTTCTCCGCTGCACTATCGTAATTTCTGGTGTTTCCTTATTTATAGCATGGGCCGTTGGTATCCCACAAGCGGTGTTAAACCACCTTTGACACCTCCCTTGCTCGACTTCCGGGCCAACTGCTTCCAGGGGTGGTGGTTCTTGTGACCTTTCAACTGCACAAATAAAAAAACAAAGAAAGTTTTACATTTATTTATGAGAGTTCTGTGTTTAAGGCTAAATCTTCGGATGGCCAAAAACCCATTTCCCATCATCCTTTAGAACTGAAACTGGCCCAAAGACTATTAGCCAATGACAACACATACTATCAAATTTTCAACCACACCCAAACCAATAATCAATAATTTGTTCCCGTTTTTCAAGGGTAGATGAATGAAATATTATTTGTTCAATATTGGTGCATTTGTGTATCGGTATGCAGTAAAAATAAAATGTATTTCTGAAGGGAAAAAAAAATGAAGGAAATATAAAACAAGTTTTCGCCACATCTTTACCCACTTGCATAACCCCTTCTTAATAAATGATAAATCACGCTCAATTACATAAATGCAAGCTAAAATACATATAACGGATTTATATCGAAACATTCTTTTTAGCGGCTGTTATATGAAAAAATTTTTTTAACGATAATGTTGCTTTGACTTATACCACAAAGACTCCATGGACAATATTAATAAAAGTCTATCATACAATAAATACATTTGTGAAAGCAAGACAGAAGTCAAAGCTGCTGTTAACTAAGCTAGATCAATGTCAACGCTGGAAAAACGAAACGGTGGGCATGAATGAATTATGACAAAAAAGTAGTTCTCTAGACCTTCACGAAGTTGCAGGTCTCGTGAAATTTTGCTGACGCAATCAACTCTTGTCCACCACGTGACACCATATAGCTGAAAGTGAAAACATAAATGAGATTAAAATGAAATGTTTTCTCTTTTCTTCCTGAGGAAAAAATATTTCATAAACATCTGAAACAGGTGCTAGTATTTTGTTTTCCTTATTAAAAAAAATATATATTTATAGAGGTTTATATATTTATATACCCGGTACCTCCTAAAAGTTTTAATTTCCTATGGAATGAATGGGTTTTAAATATTAAGCAGTTCAGTCAATAAATATGTGGTCAATCATTTTCATTGAGTTTATTAAAATTTGACATTTTATAAAAGTCATGGAAACAGACTTTCTTCAAAAATTGGTCTTAGAGTTAGAATAATATCTCTAACAATTCAGTTAAAAACCGGGACAAGGTGCAAGGATACAGGTCTAGAAGAAATAGATGTTTGGCCCGGCTACAGGTTAGATAAAATGGGAGGTATGCACTAAAATTAAGTACAGCTGAACTGACCTCATCCTCGTCTTGTCTAGGTGAAGTGTACGAGAAAATGACGATGGCCAACGTTGTGATAATCAGACTCAGACTGCCGTAGTAGGTGTAGTGTACAGCTGACAATATTTCTGGACGGCGGTCAGCCTCACCTGCAAGTGACATGCAAATGGCATGAGCGCAGTAGTTTAAATAATGAGCATTGTTAGCCCCCGGCAGCTCAAGGGAATACGTAATCGTATGGTACATGTAACACATATGAATATGGACGACTAAGGGTTAAATGGAAATGGCTCAAAGGCAACAACAGTAGAGAAAACGATTGTTAATCATTTAAAACCGAGAGGTGAAAGTGAGGGTTAACAGTTAATATGTAAGGCTAGTAATGACTGAGAAGTGATGTGAGGAAAGTTGCGGCTCAACAAAATACATGAAGGTAAACATTTAATGATTAATCTTGAAGAGTATGCCCTCGCTAGTCCCTGGGGGGTCAAAGGTTGTTGCTGTTGTCGCAGTCGACGTTCCCGTGAAAAATGTACACCAATAGCACTTCGTAAAATGTTAAACTATGCATTTTTTGTTTGATGAGCTCGAAGTCTTGAGTTTCAACCTCCATTTTATAAGGTGTCTTCATAACAACTATTGACTCAAGAAAACAAAAATATAGATTTTTATGACGAGACCACACTTGCCCAGTCAGTAACAATAACCTATTATAACAAAGACTTACCACACCCCGGCGCTGGGTAGACAAAGTCGATGGTCATTCTAGCAATCCCACAGGCGTGCCCAGTCAGTAAGCCGAAGAACGCCCCCTAAGAAGACAAGCAACGATGAGTGAAACACAGGACATGCAGAATTTAATTTGCGGCACGCTGTGTTTCATAATTATAGCCCCACCGTTAACCATAAAAAGGCAGCTTTTGATTTTGCTTCAAGTCAAACTCTATGTGACTTGACTTTGGTTATATTAAGTGAAACTCTATGTGACTTGACTACTATTTTAAGTCAAACTCTATATGACTTGAAATTGATAATATAAGTCAAACTCTATGTGACTTGACTTTGGTTATATTAAGTGAAACTCTATGTGACTTGACTACTATATTAAGTCAAACTCTATGTGACTTGAAATTGATAATATAAGTCAAACTCTATGTGACTTGACTTTGGTTATATCAAGTCAAACTCTATGTGACTTGAAATTGATAATATTAAGTCAAACTCTATGTGAGTTGACTCTGATTATATTAAGTCAAACTGTATGTGATTTGACTTTGATTTTATTAAGTCAAACTCTATGTGATTTGACTTTGATTATATTAAGTCAAATTCTATGTGACTTGACTTTGATTATATTAAGTCAAACTCTTTGTGATTTGACTTTGATTATATTAAGTCAAACTCTATGTGACTTGACTTTGATTATTTCCAGGAAATATTTAATAAGACGAGCGTTTAAAAGAAAAAGATCATATTATTCAGGCTTCTTTTGTTTTCATGCATGAAGATGACCTTTACTTGCTTTTAAAATTATGAAAATATATCATAATGATTATCATACACAGTGTGTGTGTGATCATATACACTGACTGTATGACCGGCATGCACTGTGTGTGTGGCCGTTTTTTTTTAAACCAATGAAAGACATACTCTCCTCTAGAGATTACAAAATATCCGGTTCAGTAGCCTGGCCAATTAATCTAACCACTAACCCTTTCATTCATCCTCTTCCATAAAATGGCCACCAGGAAAAGAGCACCGATCGGTGTTCCAAGATAACCTTGTACAGCTTGGATGTAGTTGAAGAGTTGTCCCCCTTGAGATGAGCGCACCATCGGGATCCACAAAATGGCGACGCCACACATCAGCAGAACGAAAAACCTGGACCGGCACAAGTGTCGGTTTTAAACAAAATTTAATAATAAATAACTTTTTGTTGCTAAGTACCTCTAACAACAGAAGGCAAAAAAAGTTGAACAACAAAAAAGGGATTGACTGTTAAAAATCTTCAAAATGAATTTTTTTTAAAAGCGTTACTGGAAAACACGAAGAGAAAAGTAGACAATATTTTCACCAGATTACCAGTAATTCAACTACTGTTCACACCTGCCAACGATCAACAACTCCCTCTCTGAGGCATGCTTTCTGAGCCTCCTCCACAGGTCCATGGTGAAAAGGGTAGCGGATGAGTTGAAGATGGACGTCAAGGATGACATGATAGCCGACAACATGACCGCCATGAGAAGACCACGGAGACCTGGGTACAATAAGTTTTATCCACGGGTAAAATATCCAGCGTGTAAAAGTGTTGGAAC